GACTCCAGGCCCACAGCAATGTGGGCCTGGAGTCACATGTAGGCCAGACCAGGTAAGGATGGCAGTTTCCTTCCCTAAAGGACGTTAGTGAACCAGATGGGTTTTTCCAACAATTGGCAATGGATTCATGGTCATCATTAGACTCTTAATTCCAGATTTGTATTGAATTCAAATTCCACCATCTGCTGTGGTGGGAATTCGAACCAGAGTCCCGAGAACATCCCCTGGGATTAACAACCCGCAATAATATCATGGGGCCATTGCCTCCCCAATCTGTACACAATATTCCAGGTGTGGTCTCACCAAGGATCTGTAAAAATTGTTTTAATGTATTGTGCGTCCAGCTGGGCCAACATTTATCATGTAACCCTAGTTGTCCCTGAGAATGTGCTGGCGAGCTACCATCTGGTGTAGTCTTGGATCGTGAGGCTCAGGTTCAAATCCCACTTCCTCCAGGGTGTGTAGTAACATTAAAAAAACAGGGTGAACTACTGCACTCCATGTGCTATAGGTAATCCCAAAATGTCAGGAGGAAGGGAATTCCAGGAACAAAAACAAAATCGCTGGAAAAGCTCAGCAGGTCTGGCAGCATCTGTGAAGGAAAAAACAGTTAACACTTCAGATCTGGTGACCCTTCCTCAGAACTTTTTTTATTCAAGAATTTCAGGATTTTGTCCCAGTGACAGTCAGGATAGTAAGTGGTTTGGAGGGGAACTTGCAGAGGGTGGTGTGGTGTTCCCATGTATCTGCTGTCCTTGTCCTTCTAGATGGAAGTGATTGTGGGTTTGGAAGGTGCTGTCTGAGGATCTTTGGTGAATGGAGTAGACGATGGCCTAGTGGTACTTTTGCTGGATTATTAATCCAGAAACGCAGCTAATGTTCTGGGGTCCCGGGTTCGAAACCTTCCATGGCAGATGGTCAAATTTGAATTCAATAATTAAAAAAGAAGTCTGGAATTAAGAATCTACTGATCACCATGAAATCATTGCCAATTGTCAGAAAAATCCATCTGGTTCACTAATGTGGAGGAAATGTGCCACCCTCACCTGGTCTGGCCTACATGTGACTCCAGACCCACAGCAATGTGGTTGACTCTCAGTTGCCCTCTGAAATGGCCGAGCAATCCACTCAGTTGTACCAATCACTACAAAGACTCAAAGAAATGAAACTGAACAGATCATCTAGCATCGGCCTAGGCACCGGAAAAGACAACGGCAGAAACAGTCCTGTCGACCCTGCAAAGTCCTCCTCACTAACATCTGGGGGTTAGTGCCAAAACTGGGAGAGCTGTCTCACAGACTAGTCAAGCAACAGCCTGACACAGTCATACTCACAGAATCATACCTTACAGACAATGTCCCAGACACCACCATCACCGTTCCTGGATATGTCCTGTCCCACCGGCAGGACAGGCCCAGCAGAGGGAAGGGGGGGCACAGTGGGATACAGTTGGGAGAGTGTTGCTCTCGGAGTCCTCAACATTGACTCCGGACCCCATGAAGTCTCATGGCTTCAGGTCAAACATGGGCAAGGAAACCTCCTGCTGATTACCACACACTGTCCTCCCTCAGCTGATGAATCTATATTCCTCAATGTCGAAGAACACCGAGAGGAAGCACTGAGGATGGTGAGGGCACAAAATGTACTCTGGGTGGGGGATTTCAATGTCCACCACCAAGAGTGGCTCGGTAGCAGTACTACTGATCGAGCTGGTCGGGTCTTAAAGGACATAGCTGCTACACTGGGTCTGCAGCAGGTGGTGAGGGAACCAACAAGAGGGAAAAACATACTTGACCTCATCCTTACTAATCTGCCAGCTGCAGATGTATCTGTCCTTGACAGTATCGGTAAGAGTGATCATCGCACAGTCCTTGTGGAGACAAAGTCCCGCCTTCACATTGAGAACAACCTCCATCATGTTGTGTGGCACTATCACCGTGCTAAATGGGACAGACTTGGCACAGATCGAGCAACTCAAGGCTGGGCATCCATGAGGCGTGTGGGCCATCAACAGCAGCAGAATTGTACTCCAGCACAATCTGTAACCTCATAGCCCGGCATATCCCCCACTCAACCATTACCATCAAGCCAGGGGATCAACCCTGGTTCAATGGAGAGTGCAGGAGGGAATGCCAGGAGCAGCGCCAGGCATACCTGAAGATGAGGTATCAACCTGGTGAAGCCACCAAACAGGACTATCTGCACGCCAAACAGCGAAAGCAGCAAGTGATAGACAGAGCTAAGTGATCCCACAACCAACGGATCAGATCTAAGCTCTGCAGTCCTGCCACATCCAGTCGTGAATGGTGGTGGATACTTAAACAACTCACTGGAGGAGGAGGCTCCATAAATATCCCCATCCTCAATGATGGAAGAGCCCAGCACATCAGTGCAAAAGATAAGGCTGAAGCATTTGCAGCAAGCTTCAGCCAGAAATGCCAAGTGGATGATCCATCTCGGCCTCCTCCAGCGGTCCCCAGCATTACAGATACCAGTCTTCAGTCAATTTGATTCACTCCACGTGATATCAAGAAACAGTTGGAGATACTGGACACTGCAAAAGCTACGGGTCCTGACAACATCACGACAATAGTACTGAAGACTTTTGCTGGTTCTGGACTCCCCCAGTATCAGAAATATCCTTCCAGAATCTAACCTGTCTAGTCCTCTTAGAATTTTAGAGGTTTCTATGAGATCCTCCCTGATTCTTTTAAACTCCAGTGAGTACAATCTTGATCAACTCAATCGTCTCTCATACATCAGTTCTGCCATCCCAGACCAATTTGGTAAAACACTAAACAATACAACCCCTGAAAGAACCGTGGATGCTGGAAATCAGAAACATTAGCTGCCCTCCAATCCATTGAAACATGGATGGCCAATGGAAACTGGCCTTGTCAATCATGACCAAAAGCCATGGACATAAAACATGTCTCCGTTGTAGTGTTGCCCAACACACCCAATCCTGGGATCAAAATTTGCCCAATACCTTTAACTGGTTGTTCTCATTCTTCAGTTGCTTGACAGAGAGTCGGAGTGCATCGATGTGCTGCAGGAGTAAAGGTGAATCCTTGATCTGAACTGGACCAGGGCCGCCTGCCACCTGGACTGCACCTGTACCTGTACAAAAACACACAGGATGAGCAGACAGCTGTGGAACTGCAATGTCCAGCATGGAAGAGACAGAGACACTAAGGGATGGGTCATGAAGAATAACTGTAACACAGGGCAATAAATTTAGCTATTGCATCAAACCACATTAATTAAATGACAGGACTGAGCAGGAACCTCCCAGAAGCTTCTTTGAAGTTGGTGTCAACCAGACAATTGAAGACTCATGCATGTTCTGATGAGTTTGCAATGTTAACTGTCGTGTTATAAATTGTCACTGAAAGTGTCTCCTAAAGAAAACAAAATTACAAGGCAGCCCCTCCTCTCAGAATCGCACAACTGTTAGGGTTAGGTGGTGGCCATTCGGCCCCTTCCACAAGATGATGTGATGACTACCCACTTAATGACTGTCTATAGCTTATAACCAGATGTTATCTGTCATACAAGCCTTTATCTCAATTGTAACTTTCTTAAGGACAACTCTGGGCAGACAATAGATGCTGGTCCAGCCAACAACACTCATATCCCAGGAGGAAAACTCAGCTTTGCTATAAGTAACCTGGAGAAGAGTTCCAGTCGCAAAATATCTTGATGTAGATTTTAGCGCGATGTCATACACAAATGTTGCGGTGCACATGGGCAGAGAAGAAAGGGGCAGGATTTTAGAAAGGGTTTAGCACCTTGGAGTGAGCATACTGGAGGGAACACCATGGGTGGGGGTGGGTTGCAAGGTGATTTAGACAAGTTGAGCATGTGGGCAAACACATGGCAGGTGCAGTATAACATGGTGCAAACATAAACAAAACATGAAAAACAGGCAGAGTAGGATTTAAATGGTGATAAACTGTGAACTGTGAATTACAAAGGGTGCCCTTGTATACCACTCAGTGAAAGCAGGCAGGCAGATGCAGCAAGCAATTAAGAAGGAAAACAGTCTTTTGGCCTTCACTGAAAGAGGACCCGAGTCCACAAATAGGAATGACTCTCTGCAGTTCAACAGGGATTTGTTAAGAATACACCTGGAGTATTATGTGCAGTTTGGTCTCCCTGCTTAAGAAAGGAGATACTCACCATAGAGAAGGTGCACCAGAGGCTCATGAGGCTAATACTGAGAATGGCAGGACTGTCTTATGAGGAAAGATTGATTCAACTAGTCTTGTATTCACTGGAGTTTAGAAAAGTGAGGGTGGGGGGGGTGATCTGAATGAGCATAGAACTGTCCAGTACAGGAACAGGCCCTTTGGCTCGCCATGTCTTTGCTGACCATGAAGCGAATCTTAACTAATCCCATCAGCCTGCCCATGGCCCATATCCCTTTATTCCCTGTCTGTTCATGTGTCTGTCTAAATGCTTCTTAAACGTTGCTATCGTATCTGCTTCTACCACCTCCCCTGGGTGTGCATTCCAGGCACATTCCACCGCCCTCTGTATAAAAACCTTCCCTCACATATCTCCTTTAAACTCTCACCTTAAAGCTATGCCCCCTGGTATTGTCATTTCCACTCTGGGAAAAAGACTCCAGCTACCCATCCTATTCAGGCTTCTCATTATTTTACACACTCTTATCAATTTGCCCCTCAGCCTCCAATGCTTTCTGTTCCACCTTATCCACTTGTGTTGCCATTTTCAGGGAGCTATGGACTTGCACCTCAAGATCCCTCTGCGTATCAATGCTCTTAAGGGTCCACCCATTTGCTGTATACTTTCCTCCTACATTTCATCTTCCAGAATGCATCACCCTCTACATTTCCACCTTAAACTCCATCTGCCATTTCTCCAACCTTGTGAAACTTTTACCCTATCACAATCCACAACTTCACTAATATTCATGTCGTTTACAAACTTAATTATCAGACCAGCTACATTTTCATCTAAATCATTAATATATACTACTAACAACAGAGGTTATGGATTTAAGTCAGGTATTCGACAAGGTTCCTCATAGTAGACTGGTTAGTAAGATTAGATCACATGGAATCCAGGGAGAGCTAGCCATTTGGATACAAAATTGGCCCCAGGATAGGAGACAGATGGTGGTGGGGGGTTGTGTTTCAGACTGGAGGCCTACGACCAGCAGTCTGCCACAGGGTTCGGTGCTGGGTCCACTGCTTTTTGTCATGTATACAAATGATTTGGACGTGAATATGGGAGGTATGGTTAGTAAGTTTGCAGATGACACCAAAGTTGGTGGCGTTGTGGACAAAGGACAAAGGACAAAGAACAATGAAGCACAGGAACAGGCCCTTCGGCCCTCCAAGTCTGCACTGACACATTTTGCCCTTCCATACTAAAACTGTCTTCATTTACAGGATCCGTATCTCTATTCCCTTCCTATTCATGTATTCATCCAGGTACTTCCTGAATGCTGCTATCGTGTCTGCTTCCACTACCTCCTCTGGCTGTACGTTCCAGGTACTCACCACCTTTTGTGTGAAAAACTTGCCTCACACATCTCTTTTAAACTTACCCCTCACACCTTGAACCTGTGTCCCCTAGTAATTGACCCCTCCACCCTGGGAAAAAGCCTCATACTTTCCTCATACTTTAGTGATAATGAAAGTTTCTAGGTCCTCACATGCTATAACCTTCTTGCCATTAGTTTTCGGCATGTTATTTGCGTCTTCCACAGTGAAGACCGACACAAAATAAATGTTTAATGTCTCGGCTATTTCCTCATTCCCAGTTATTAAATTGTCCTTCTCATCCTCTGAAGGACCAATGTTTACCTTCGCCACTCTTTTACGATTTACATATTTATTGAAACTTTTGCTGCCTGTTTTTATATTCTGAGCTACTTTACTCATAATCTATCTTACTTTTCTTCATAACTTTTTTTTGTGGCTTTCTGTTGGCCTTTAAAGATTTCCCGGTCTACTAGTTTCCCACTACTCTTTGTTTTTTTGTATGTGTTTTTTTTTCAATCTGATACTTTCCTTTATTTCCTTAGACATCCATGGCTGGCTCTCTCTTTTCCTACAGTTCTTCCGTATCACTGGAATATACTTCTGCTGAGCACTGTGAAACATCGTTTTGAAAGTCCTCCACTGTTCCTCAATTGACCCACCATAAAGTTTTTGCTCCCATTCTACCTTAGCTAACTCCTTCCTCATCCCATCATAGTCTCCTTTGTTTAAGCACAAGACATAGGTACTGGATTTAACCTTCACACGCTCCATCTGTATTTTAAATTTGACCATACTGTGATCGCTCCTTCCGTGAGGATCCCTAACTGTGAGATCATTAATTATTCCTGTTTCATTACACAGGACTAGATCTAGGATAGCTTGCTCCCTCGTAGGTTCCATTACATATTGTTTAAGGAAATTATCATGGATGCATTCTATGAACCCCTCCTCAAGGCTGCCATGACCAACCTGGTTTGACCAATCGGTATGTAGATTAAAATCCCCCATGATAATTGCTGTACCATTTTTACATGCATTAACATTTCTAGGTTTATTGCTCGTCCCACCATGATATCATTATTTGGTGGCCTATAGACCACACCTATCAGTGACTTCTTCTCCCTGCTATTCCTAATTTCCACCCAAATGGATTCAAACCTTTTGTTCAGTAGAACCTATATCATCTCTCACTTCCGCCCTGATATCATCCTTAAAAATCAGAGCAACACCACCTCCCTTACCTTCCTGTCTGTCCTGCCGAACAGTTTGATACCCCTGGATACTTAACTCCTAGTCGTGACCATCCTGCAACCATGTCTTTGTAATGGCCACTAAGTCATACCCATTTGCCATGATTCACCTTTCCTATTCCTGAGTTCTACCCACGCTGCCTCACTGCACGAGTCCTCTGATGTATCCTCCCTCAGTACAGCTGTGAGATACTCCTTCACCAGTAATGCAGCTCCCCCAGTGGAGAAATACACCTCCACTGTTTAAAACAGGGAAATATTAAACCACCCGAGAGTGGTTGGTGAGGGGAGAAAAAAAATTAAGGACGCATTGGAAGAGGGAGGGAGAGAGACAGACAGGAGAACAAGGGAGAGAGTGTAGGGAAAGGGTAGAGAACGGAGAAGAGGGAGGGAGAAGGAGTGAGAGTGGGGGTGAACTGGGGAGGGAGAAGCAGAGAGAGCAGGGCACAGTGCAGAGGAGGAAGAAAGAGATGAGGTAGGGAGAGGGAGAGAGTGCGGCGAAGGAGGGAGATCGTGGGTGGGAGGGAGAAGGCGCAGCGAGGGACGAAAAAGTAGGAGAGAGCACGAGACAGAGTGGGTATAGGACAGGGAGTGAAAGTGAGGGAAACTGGGGTGGGGAGAGAGAGAACGAGACAGAGTAGGGGAGAAGGAAGGAGAGAGAAAGCAAGGGAGAGTGGGGACAGGAGACCAAGGGAGAGTGGGGACAGGAGACCAAGGGAGAGCGAGAGGGGTGGGGGAGGGAGGTCAAGGGAGAAGGAGAGGGGGAGAGCATGTTCAAATAATCATAGAGTATGGAAATAGACCATTTGGCACAACAAGTCCACACCAACCAACTGAAGAGCATCGTATCCAGACTCACCACCCCCATCCTATTCCTGTAATGTTGCATTTTCCATGGCTAATCCACCCAATCGTCACATCCCTGGCCACTACGGACGATTTTGCATGGAAAATCCACCTAACCTGCACATCTTTGGACTGTGGGAGGAAACCGGAGCACCTGGAGGAAACCCACGCAGACACGGGGAGAATGTGCAAACTCCACACAGACAGTCACCTGAGGGTGGAATCGAACCCGGGTCCCTGGCGCTGTGAGGCAGCAGTGCTAACCACTGAGCCACCGTGTCACCCTCTTTTTGGCTGGCTCCTCTTGGATCCCATGTCAACATCATGCCAACTTGAAAAGACCCAATTTTGCCAAATCTGTTTCATGTTCATTTAAAGCAAGTGTCAAGATGGTAGGACAGTAGGTTTTGGAGTAGATCTGTAGCTCGGATTGTGGATGCTGAGGTTGGTTGGCTCGACGAGCTGATTTGTTGTTCCGCAGACGTTTCGTTACCCTACTTGGTAACATCCTCAGTGCAGCCTCTGATGAAGCCCTGGAGTACATGTGACAATAAAGGATATTCTATTCTATTCTAAGGGTGAGGGGGATGGAGGGGAGAGGGAGAGTGAGGGGGAGTAGCGGTGGAGGCTAAGTAGACCAGGGAAATGTGAGGGGGCAGCAGTTGGCGCCAGGGTGAGAAAGTGGGACAGGGGAGCAGTGGGAAGGTTTGCTTGTCTGTACAATGTGAGGGCTGTTGCCAAGAAGATATAGGAGGGCATGGGTAGTTGGTCTCCATGTAGAATATGAGCCACAAGCCTGGGGTCATCGGGTAAGAAATGAGAGGAGCTTCAGATTTAGACAGGGAGAAGTAAATGTCTTTTTGTGGGGTTGTGGGGAGGGGGTGGTGAAGGAGACAGTAAGATGGAGACAATGCGAGAGAGATTTGGAGGCTGACAGCTGTGGGAAGGTGCGATGATGATAGGATACTGTACCTGTGTACTGGTCCTCTGCAAGCAGATTGAAAAACACAGACAGAGAAAATCAGACAGTAAGAACAAAGAGACAGTTTGGAAGGACACATAGGTGAAAGAGCAGAATCAAATTCCGGGTCAGAATGTGAGCTCTCACACATTGCTCAAGGCACACCAATATTCAGAGTTAACCAGACAGATGTAGATGCACAAATTCCTCATGCTGTCTACATATTGGAGGCACTCCAGAGAATGTCTGCTGAATCACAGAATCCCTACAGTGTGGAAACAGGCCATTCAGCCCATCGAGTTCACACTGACTCTCCGAAGACATCCCACCCAAACTCACCCTTCCACCCCTACCCGTGTAACCCTGCATTGCCCATTGCTAACCCAACTAGCCTGCACATCCCTGAACACTATGTACAATTTAGCATGGCCAATCCACCTAGCCGGCACATCTTTGTGGGAGGAAACCAGAGCACCTGGAGGAAACCCACACAGACACGGGGAGAATGTGCAAACTCCACACAGAGGGTCACCTGAGGCTGGAATGGAACTCAGGTCCCTGGCACTGTGAGGCAGCAATGCTAACCACTGAACCACCATGCTGCCCTTGGACAGAGGACGAGGGAGTGGGCAGAGGGAAGTAAGATTGAGTGGGCAGAGGAGAGGGCCAGAATGGATGAGTGAGATTAAAGGACTGAAGGGCCTACTCCTAACTTGGATACTTATACAAAAACAGTGCGAGAGGTGGCCGTGGAAACCGTACCCCGTCATAGCGGCAACCGTACCCCGTCACTGCGGAAACCGTACCTGTTACTATGGAGGCAATGCCAGAGCCTGGTGATCCTCTCAGTCCCTCAATTGTACGTTTTGACTGGCTACTGAGCCGTTGCTTCAATTCCATCTTCTCAGATTCCAGCTGGTCAATGTCAGCCTGCAGAGCATCCATCGTTTCATCGAACTCCCTGTCAACACACACACAGTCAGGTAAACACTTACTCAGGAAGGGACAGAGAGAGAGACAGTGAGAGTGAGCCATACAGAGGGAGAGGGAGAGAGTGAGAGTGAGAGAGAGAGAGAGAGAGAGAGAGAGACAGAAAAACAAAGAAATAGACAGATAAAGAAAAACTGATATTAGAGAGTGAAATAGAAGACTGAAGGGCACAACCAAACAGTGAAAGAGACAGAGAGGGGGGGAGAGGGAGAGAGAGAGAAAAAACACAAGCCACACAGAGAGACAGAGAAAGAGAACAAGCCACACACAGAGAGAGACAGAATGAACCACACTAGAAAGAGAGAAAATCCGAGCAAGCCAAAAAGAAAGAGAGGGGAAGGGTGGGGGGGGAGAGGAAGGGGGGAGAGGGGGAGGGGGGGGGGAGATGGGGGGGGAGGGGGGGGGGGGGGAGAGTCAGAATGAGCCACATGCAGAGAGAGATAGAATGAGCCACATACATAGGGGGAAGTGGATGAGCTACAGATACAGGCAGAGTGAATGAGCCAGGCCAGGGAACAGAATGACCACCACAGTGAAACAGAGAGTGTGAGTGAGTCAGTGATGTTCAGAGGCTGACTATCAGACCTCATAAAGCCCAATAGGCAGCTTCGGTTACTCACTTCTCCTTCTTTTTGAGCAGAGCCTGTGTCTCTTCCAGTTTTGTCTGAATTTTCTCCACTCGATCATCAGCCTCTTTCGAGGAACAGTCCAGTTTCTTCTCAAGCAGACTAAGTCGTACACTCGCTTCACTCAACTCCTCACCCTGGAACACAGGCACGTCAGTTCCCACAAATTCTCCATGTCCACTCCGCATTTCAACATTCCACTCCAATTACCTCTGCTCATTCCAGCCCGTCTCTAATTCTAATCCGTCCTGCCTCCATCCTCAATCAGCCCCCATATCCGTATATCCTCACCTCCTATCTGTCCACACAACCTCAAATCCCTCCCTTTAGCTGCTTCACTTCTTCTTTAGGCGAGGGAATACATGACGGACAGTAGGACCCTGGGAAGCACAGAGGGTCAGGGGGACCTTGGCGTGCATGACCATCGATCCCTTCAGGGAGCGGGACAGCTGGATAAAGTGGTTAAGATGGTGTATAGTATACCTGCCTTTAATAGCCAAGGCATTGAGTTTAAGAGCTGTGAGTGATACTGGAACTGTATAAAACATTGGTTAGGCCACAGCTAGAGTGCTGTGTGCAGTTCTGGGATCGACATTCTAGGAAGGATGTGATAGGGACTGGAAAGAGTGCAGAGGAGATTTACCAGGATGGGTTGGTGGGTTTCAGTGATGGAGAAACATTTGACAGACTGGGGGTGAGGAGAACTTAGAGCAGAGGGGATTGCGAGGGGATTGCGAGGGGACATGATTGAGATGTATAATATGAGGAGGGACAGGCGGGGTAGACAGGAAGAAAGTATTCCCCTTGATGGAGTGGCCAGTGACCAGGAGAGAGAGTGTTATTTAAGGAAAGGTAGAAGGTTTAGGCCCTTCTGTGCCTCCTCCCACCATGAACATTGGTCTCTTAGAAAATGAATCTGGGGAGAAGGTTTTGGGGAACAAGGAAATGGCAGAGGAGTTAAACAGACATTCTGCATCAGACTTTATGGTGGAAGATACTTCAAACACCCCGTTAACATTAAAGAATACTTGGAGGAAATAAGTACCATCGTCATCACTACAGAAGTTGGATTAGACACACTAATGAGGTTAAAGGCAGGTAAAGACCCCTCGGCCCTGACGGATTGCATCCTCCGATTCTAAAAATCCTTCGATCCTGGTAAAGTACCAGAGGATTGGAAAGGTGCCAATGTGATACCTCGATTCAAAAAGGGAGGGATGCAAAAAATGGGTAACTATAGGCACATTAGCCTGACATATATTGTTGGCAAAGTATTGGAATCAATTATTAAGGTGGACATAGGATTAAGGGGAGAGGGGAAAGATTCAAAAGAGATCTGAAGGGCAACTTTTTCATGTCGAGGGTGGTGTGTGTATGGGATGAGCTGCCAGAGGAAGTGGTGGAGGTTGGTACAATTACAACATTTAAAAGGCATCTGGATTGGTATATGAATAGGAAGGGTTTAGAGGGATATGGGCCAAATGCTGGCAAATGGGACTGTGTCAGATTGGTCAGTGTGACTGAGTTGACCGAAGGGTCTGTTTCCATGCTGTATGACTCTATGACTCTTTGAACGTTTGTAAAATAATCATACAAGTCAGCAACACTTCATGGAAGGGAAAACGTCTCTAATTTATTAAGAGGTTTTTGAGGAAGTCTCAACCAGAGTGGGTAGAAGGAAACCAGAAGATGTGTTGTATTGGACTTCCAGAAGGCATTCCGCAAGATATCTTACAAAAGATAACAGCCCATGGTATTGGAGGTAGTATACCGGCATGGATAGGGAATTGGCTCATGGGGATAAGGGGTCCCACAGGAATCAGTGCGGGACCGCAACTGTAGACATTCATGACTTGGAGGAGGGAAAGGAATGTACTGGAGCCAAATTTGCAGACAACATAAAAATAGATGGAAAGGCAAGTTGCGAATGGGATACAAACAGTTAACAGAGAGATATTGACAGTTTTAGTAAGTGGGTCAAAGTTGGCAAATGGAACATAATGTGGGAAAATGTAAAGTTGATCATTTTGGAAAAGAGAACAGAAGAACAATATGATGTAAATGGACAGAAGCTGCAGAAAGCAACAACACAGAGGGACTTTGTGGGACAGAAAGCTCACACAAAGGCACAGCAAGTAATCAAGAAGGCTAATGGGAATGTTAGCCCTTATTTCAAGGGAATTAGAGTATAAGAGTAGAGAAGTCTTACTGTACAAGGTGCTGGTGAGACCACATCTGGAACACTGAGCAATTTTGGTCCCTTATTAAAGGAACGATATTATTTCAATGGAGGCAATTTAGAGAAATGATGGTATGGAAAGAGAATGACCTAGTAGTATTATTGCAGGCTTGTTAATCCAGAGCCCCAAGTAACGTTCTAGGTACCCAGATTTGAATCCTGCCATGGCAGATGGTGGAATTTGAATTCAATAAAAAAAATCTGAATAACAGCCTAATGATGACCATGAATCCATCGATTGTTGGAAAAACCCACCTGGTTCACTCATGAACTTTAGGGAAGGAAACTGCCATCCTTACCTGGTCTGGTCTACATGGGACTCCAGACCCACAGCAATGTTGTTGACTCTCATACCCTCATCCCAGCAATGAATACAAGATAAAGGGATTGTCTTGTTAGTAAAGGCTAAACAGGTTGGGACTCTGCTCATTGGAGTTGAGAAGAATGAGAGGTGATCTCATTGAAACATATTGGATTCTTAAGGGACTTGACAGGGTAAATGCTGAGAGGATGTTTCCCCTCATGGGAGAGTCTGGGAACAGACGGTATAGTCTCAGAATAAAGAGATACCAATTTAAGACTGAGATGAGGGGAATTTCTTCTCTCAGAGGGTGGTGAGTCTTTGGAACTCCTTGTCACTGAGAGCTGTGGGGGCAGGGTCCTTGTTGAGGTTGGTTGGCTCGCCGAGCTGGTTTGTTGTTCCGCAGACGTTTTGTTACCATCTCAATCCACGTGGACAAGGAGAACCATGACTTTGACTGGGACAACACCAAGATCCTGGGACAGGCTAGGCAGAGACAAGCACGAGAATTCCTGGAAGCATGGCACTCCACGAAGCATGCTATTAATAAACACATCGAACTTGACCCCATATACATTCCACTACGGAAGAAACCCGGAAGTGAGGCAATCCATCTCAACGGACCCCAGAGTTTAAAAACTAGGTGGGAAAACACACCAACGCTTCATCAGAGGCTGCACTGAGCATGTTACCAAGCACGGTAATGAAACGTCTGCGGAACGAACCAGCTCAGCGAGCCAACCAACCTTAACACCCACAACCCGAGCTACAGATCTACTCCAAAACCTTAGGGTCCTTGTGTGTATTTAAGGCTGAGATAGATTCTCGATCAGTCAGGGATTTAAGGGTGATGGGGAAAAGGCAGGAAAGTGGATATGAGGAATGTCGGATCAGCTACGATCTTTTTGAATG